GCTCCCAACCCAACATTGCTTACCCTCTGTTGTGGTTCCAGTTCCACTTCTGGCCGTGCTGTGGTTTGAGGTACAAAGCACGTGGTTGCTCTGGCCCCTGCCTGGCCATACAGCAATGGTTGCGATGGTGGTGGCAGCTCTGGCCGTGACCCCAGATTATAGCTGGAGCGAGAGTTGTGATGGAGGGTGGGGGAAACAGGTGCCAGGGAGGTGGCAGAGGTGGCAGTGGGAGGGGATGTGAGGAGGGGAGGGGGGCTGGAGTCAGTGCCACAACAGCCACCTGCCCTTCACCTTGTACTCAAATCCAAAATGAGGGGCTTTTCTCTCCACATTGAATGGGAGGGAACTTCATCTTGGATTTGAAAAAATATGGTAGTTGCTAGCTCTGCTCCTGAGGCACCAATGTATACTGAACTCTATATGTATATAGCAGTGGAGGGCAAAGTATTAGCAGTTCTGTTGCCACTGGTGACCATATAATCTGCCTTCTCTGCCTACACTGACTTCAAATCTGACTCTTCCCCCTTTTGCAATGCCACATGGCATGGTTTTTCTGCCCTTCTGTGTCCCATACTGTTGGTTTTTCCACTCTAGGGTGAGGGGTTGGCCAAATAATACATTTTCACCTCTACTAAACTTACCTTTAAAAAAAATGGAAGTCTTGTGTAATGCTCCCATCTTTGCTGTGAGTAAGCAATTTCTTGGATGGACATTGCAGTGTTGCTTAAAATGGATGCAAGTACTGTAGTGCTTGTTTTAAATTAAGATGATGAAGGCAAAATTATAATGAAGCACATGTTCATCACCAGTCCTTAGAATTCAGTTTTAATCTTGACTTGGCTATTGCTGGGCTATTCCAGAATCGTTGAACTCCTTGCTATATTCCCATTTTCACAAGCAGACCATGAACCAATGAAAGACGCATCAAGCTTTCTTCACTTCCAAGATCTTCACAAGATGTCCATTCAGTAGCATTTAGTTTCTGCACTAAACAGAACAGGTACCTCTAATTTATGCTCCTGCCCCATGCTGACAACTTAACTGGAGTGCAGGAACTTCTTAGCTACTAGACATATCCAAGTATGAGCCATCAGCTTTGAAGGGTAATCTTCTTGTCTACTATCACTCTGGGATGCATTAGCTGATGTGTTGTGAGCAAGACTAAGGAAGTGATACTTTCTCTCTACTCAGCGTTGGTAAGACCCTCAGCTGGAGTACTGTGTCCAGTTCTAGGCACAGCACTTCAAAAAGACATGGAGAATCTTGAAAGGGTCCAGAGAATGGCCACAAGAATGATTAAGGACCTGGAAGACAAACCTTATGAGGAAAGACTAAGGGACCTAAGACTGTTCAGCCTGGGGACAAAACTGAGGGGGGACTTGGTGGCCATCTACAAGTATGTAAGGGGTGAATATTGGGAGCTGGGAGAAAAACTGTTCACTAGGGAGCCTCAGGGGAGGACAAAGAGCAATGGCCATAAACAGTTAAAGGATGGGTTCAGGTTGGATGTAAGGAAGAACTTCTATTACAGTAGGGGTGACCAGAATCTGGAATAGACTTCCTAAGGAGGTGGTGCAGTCCCCAACCTTAGAAGTCTTCAAGAGGAGACCCTTCCTCACTGCAGAGGCCTCAATCTGCCCCCTCCACCTCTTCCCCCTCTCTTTCCACCACAACAGACTCACAAGCTGGACACAGCTATCCAAGCTGCCAGGCTGTGCTCCTCGCCGCCTATGTGCTGCGCTGTGGCTGTGCACATGCACGGGGCGTTTATCAGCCATATCAGGCAAAAAAGCCAATTTCTGAGACAGTCAGTTTTCTTTATATCAGTGCTGATCCAATATTGGACCGATGTGTCAGTGCACCTCTACTGACTATGGGGTATTCTCTTGACACTCATTCTTCATCTCCATCTCTCCTCCCTTTCTTTTTTTTGTTCAGTGGTTCCTCGTTCTTCCATTGTTTAATAATTCCTACCAAGTGATTCAGGTCCTATCCCAGCAAAGCACTTGGGGACAGACCTATGCAGAAACTTGTATCAACATAAAATGGATTTTAAGCCCTAATTTTTGTTATCTTGGTGCAAGCTTGTGTGATGATAAAACATATTTTGAAATAAAAGTACCTCAACACAGGAACATCCACATTTGTACGGCAAGAGGTCCAAATTACAATTGATTTGCTTATCTTGGTGCTGGTCTAGTGTGAAGGCCAGCCACTTATTTATGTGCTTTCCTTGATTTCAGTGGGGTTAAATGACATGTTAAAAGTTAAGCAATGTGCATAAGTGCTTTGCTGGACAGGAAGCAATTGATAGGCTGCAAGATAGCTCTCTTAAAACATCTTCAACTCAGAAGAGTCTCCATCTGTCTCATTTGTTATAATGAGGGTTTATAACAGGGATTTTCCTAGTACAGTTGCTGTTCTTTGCTAGTTTTTTCCACCAGTATTTCTATGTTTCCGTTACATGCTTTTAAAATAGCAGCTAACATAATTAAAAATAAATAAAATAAAATACATGACAGCAGACAGAACTGTAATGTTTAACACTATAGGTTGACTGATAACAAGTTTATTTATGTCAGCAGCTTTGAAAAGATTTAAACAACGTTTTAAAGGTTTCCATTATTCTTAATATTCAAGTTAATTTAAACCAAGATGCTATGAAAACCTATTAGCATTTCCCATAGCTTTACATATTCATCAGTAAATTAATGCACAGTATGACACAGTTGAATAATAAACGTAATCCTTTTGTACTTGCATAGAAGGAAAAATTGCTTATTGTGTACTGCAACCAAAAATAGAATTCAAAGTGGTGTTTTTTTGCATAGAGTGTCCAGTCATTATAATCACCCTAGGCACTTGATAGTTTTGAACCCACTTTGTTCTGAGAACAGGTTCTTCTTGTCCTAGAGTAAGGTCTGAAGTCAAGAAGCTACACACAAATCAGAGAAACAATCCAGGCTCATACATTCTTTCAGAAAATGCTTATGGATGGTTAAATGCATTGCTGAAACAAAATTTTATCTGGGTGGGGACAGAGAATGAAGGAAGAGGAAATAGGTACATTTTTATTAACCATTAGCTCTGCACTCCCAATACCTCAAAGAAGTCAGAAAGTATGAGGCCAAAAGGTATGTACACTTGTTTTAGTCTATGGACTAGTGTCCACAACATTACGCCAAGGGAAAAAAAAACATTATGGAAGAGACATTTCTTTCCAAACACAGACAATTCAAAACTGCTATTATAGAGTCTTAATACTCGGCCAAAGCTAAATAATATATCACAGCTATCACTGAATGATTGGTTATAGGGACTGAGCTGTTTCACAGTGCCTAGGCTTGACTCAAGATAACAAGACATAGCCGACAAGCATGGATCTATTTCAGGGCATTGATAGGTGACCCAGTTCAGTAAGGGGTCCCTCCATCTGGAACACCAGGGGTCAGCACTGCAGTATCAGTGCTATGTCCAGTCTTGTTTGGGTGGCCTCACTGGGAGTAGCATAACCTACAAAACTGATTCTAATCTAGTTGGTGCAGAGAGTTATGAAAGAGCAGCTATGCTGCCTACTCTAGAGAGCAAGAAGAAGAGTTAAAAATTATTCCAAATCATGACAGAACAAGTGATCTTCATACACCTGCTTATTGGACTCTTCAAAGGTCTGACTGCAGTAGGGGCACTCCAACAGGTGGCTTCGCACATGGTCTCCATACTGACTTTCTTCAATGTCCTCAGGAAAAGATGCAGTACACCAGGGGCATTTCTTCAGAGAAGACTGAAAGGTGAATTACAGTGAGGTATATAGCTCTGCTTTAGCACTTAAAGGAGAAAGAAGAGAAGGAGAAGTGGCCAGAAAACATCAGTTACAGTACAGGCCTTTTTGATTTCTAATGGTCCACAGGATTTAAAATGTCTCCATACTTCAGTGACTGGTTCTATCAAAGCCAAATGCTTCTGGGAACTGTTTCTATTTTCCATCCTACACAGCATGTGTCCTGTCTCCATTATGAAATACAGCAGTTGGCAGTTGCATGCTGCTCATTGTGGCTTCAAAGGCTGATGTTGCCAAAAGCTGTTCCTTACATTTTAAAAGATCTAGTAGAATTTCCTCTCTTATTAACAATAGCCATTAATTTCTCAGCTCTTCTAAAATATTCAGGCATCATTTTTTATTCTGCCTGGAAAGATGAAGCTTGCTGCCTTGATCAGAACTAAGAGCTTATTGAGGCAGTTGTCCATGGAGCTTAGAATTCTGACTTTGTGCCATTAACCAAAACCCACAAAAAGTTATACTCACCATGTTCTCAGCACTTGTCTTTGGGGAGGCTGCCAGAAAATAAAAAGCATATTTAACCACAGCGAAAAGTTTAACATCTTGATGGGCTGCTGACTAGTAATTCTTGATTATTCTTGAAGGATGTGGCTCTCAATCTGGAAGTCCTCCATTTAGAACTACGGAAAACTGGACTCAACCCATAGGCCCAAGCATCTCCCTGCTGAGAAAACTGGCTGGTGGTTTTAATGGCCTGCAGGGTTTTAAATGTCTCCATACTTCAGTGACTGTTTCTTGGCAGAAAAAGAGGAGAGAGCTGATCACTTAAATCAGCTCCAAAACCTGACAGCATTTTGGGGGCTGCTAGATCATCTCCTGCACACAAGAGGCTACAGAGAAGTACTGCTGTGAGCTTCTTTTGTAATGCCTCCAAATCTAGAGGTAAAACAACTTGCTGAAACTCCCCCCAAGAAGTATATAAAGTAATACCCCTGCCAACAACAAGAGAGAACCGATAAAATCTCTCTTAGCAGAGGATGGAAGGGCAAGTTGTTCACCCTCTGCTCCCAACAGCCAGAAAGAGGTAGGAAAAGGAATGAAAGGGGATCACCAAGAGACAGGGGTTGAAATGTTGGTAGGTGCAGCCTCTGCTCCTTTTTAAATCATCTCTGGTTTTAGCCAAGTTATTTAAAAAGGGGGCTCTTCTGTTCAGGACCAGTCAGGGCAAGGACTAGCTATGTTTTATGCTGTTGATCTCTGGAAGTCTCCAGATAGAATGCCAAGTATCTCACCATATGGATTTCCAAAAACAAGTCCTGTGTCTTCTGGTGAGGCAGCAGCAAAGGAAGAATAATCTGGAAGTGCAGAAAGACGCCTCAGCAGGTCACTGTTCTCCTGCTTTAATAGCTGCAAAAGGAGAAGATGGGCAAAATGAAATTCTAACAGTTCAGGGAGTCATAGAATTACAGAAAATGAGGGCTGGAAGGGACCTCAGGAGGCCACCTAGTCCAATGCCCTGCTCAAAGCATAGATTCATAGAATGTAGAGCAGGACCATCCCCAACTATATCATCCCAGCCAAGGCTTTGTCTAGCCAGGTCTTAAAAACCTCCAAGAATGGAGAATCCACAGCCTCTCTGGGTAACTTGTTCCAGTACTTTACTACCCTCCTTGTGAATTTTTTTTTTCTAATATCTAACCTAAACTTCCCTTGCTGCAACTTGAGACCATTGCTCCTTGTTCTATTATCTGCCACCACTGAAAACAGTTTAGCTCCATCCTCTTTGGAACCACATTTCAAGTAGCTGAAGGTTGCTATTTATATTCCCTTTCAGTCTGCCCTTCTCCAGACCAAATTAGCCCAGTTCCCTCAGCCTCTCCTCTTAAGTCATGTACCCCAGTCCCCTAACCATTTTTGTTGCCCTCTGCTGGACCCTCTCCAATTTGTCCACATCCTTTCTGTAGGAGGGGACCCAAAACTGGACATAGTGCTCCAGATGTGGCTTCATCAGTGCTGAATAGAGGGGAATAATCACTTCCCTTGATGTGCTGGCAATGCTCCTATCAATGCAGCCCAATATGCTCTTAGCCATCTTCAAAATAAGGTCATATTGTTGCTTTATATTTAGCTGTAACTCCCAAGTCCTTTTCTGCAGAGCTCCTGCTTAGCCAGTCAGTTTCCAGACTTTACGGGTGCATGGGATTGTTCTGTCCTAAGTGCAGGACTTTGCACTTCTCATGAGATTTCTTTTGGTATCCAATCCTCTAATTTGTCTAAGTCTCTCTGAATCCTAGGCATACCCTCCAGCATATATACTACTCCCCACCTGGTTGAGTGTACCTCAGCAAATTTGCAGATGACACCTATGCCATCTTCCAGGTCACTGATGAACAGTGATCCTGGTTTTCTACCATTAAAAAAAATCTCCAAATTTAAATTTTTCAAAAGTAACCTAAAATCCCCATTTTTCCATGATTAAAATGAAACACCACTAATATATAGAATGTTGTGGGAAACTATAACCAGCTGTAGGCTTTCAGCCTGGAGCTGTTAGCCAGCCAGTTAGCAGGCTGCCCACCTAAGGGGCTGCAGCTGACTCAGCCAATTAGTAAATGAGGGGAAGTTGACTGGCGGACCCAGAAATAAAAAGGAACAGGCAGACTAAGTCAGAGGGAATTGGTTGTGTGAAAAGGCAGGTCTCCTACATGGAGTAAAGGAGAGTACTGGGCAAGAACTAACCAAGGCTGCTGGGTGTTCATTGTGGACTGTTGGTACTTTATGTTGTGCTCTGTGATGCAGTTTAACCTGGGGCTTGAACTTGCTATGGGTGGTTATGTTTCTGTGTGTTCTGTGGTGCAGAAGAACCCAGGGCTTTACTGGCTGTGTTGTAAATTCCAGAGAAAGACTGTAGTGGGGACCAGGTAATTTGGACCTGGGAGTTTGTTCAAGGGTTCAAAGACTAACTTGAGCCAGGCTAGCTGGCAATTCACTACAGAGACTGTATTAAAAGCCTTGCTAAAATCAAGTTATAGCATATCCACTGGCTTCCCTGCATCCACAGAACCCCAGTCATCTCCTCATAGAAGGCAATCAAGTTGGTCAGGTATGACATGCCCTTGGTCACGAATGGCACATGCCTCCAGAGGCTGGGGGACATGGTGAGCTCCTGCAGGCAGCTGCAGCACTGTCAGCAGCAGGGGTGGTGGGGCTGAGATGGTGAGTGCCAACCAGAAGTCAGTGGCCACCTGCAGACTCTGCAAGTAGTGGTGGCGGCGGCCAGCAGCAATTGGGGACCGCCCACAGAAGCGGGTGTGTGGCAAGCAGTGACCACCTGCTGGTGCCACCAGCAGTGTCAGCAGTGCCTTTTTGCGGGGGGGGGGGGGCACCACCAAGCTCAGGCAGTGCATGTGCATGCCCTATGTGTTGCCAATGCCCTTGGTGAATCCATGCCGACTGTTCCTTGTTCTCCTTCAAGTGCTTAGAAATGGATTCCTTGAGGTTCTGCTCCATGATTTATCCTCCCTGGATCCTCCTTTTCCCCTTGGTGATAGGCACAATATTTGCCTTTTTCCAGTCAGCCAAGACCACTCCTGATCACCATGAGTTTCCAATGATGGCCAGCAGCTCTGAAATCACATTGGCCAAGTCCCTCAGCACCTTTGAGTACATCCTGTCTGGCCCCATGGACTCGTACGCATCCAACTTTTCTAAGTAGTCCCTAACCTTTTCTTTGGCCACTGTTGGCTGCTCACTTTCTGCCTAAACTGTGGTGCCAGGTGTAGCAGTCTGGCAGCTGACCTTGCCTGTGGACAGATGAAAGGCATTGAGCACTTTAGCCTTTTCTGCATCCTCTGTCACTAAGTTGTCTCCCCCATTTAGTAAAGGACCCACACTTTCCCTGATCCTCCCCTCCCTGCTGACATACTTGTAGAAACCCTTTTTGTTAACCTTGATGTCCCTGGCTAGCTGCTAGGGCTGTGCAAAACAACTATGTTTTGTTTCGGTTTTGGATTCGGTCGTTTTGAAGGACAGTGATTCGTTTTGGTGTTTTGCACCACATTTCCATTTCGATTCGGCCAAATCTGTTTCGGCATTTTGGACTGGCTGGGGAAAGGTGGGCACAGCTGGGTGGCTGCAGGTTCTCCCGCAGCTCCTCCGGCTGTGCCTGCCTCTGCCCTGGCAGGGGGAGCTGTGGGAGAAGCCCCCATAGCTGCCCTGCCTAATCCCATTCTCCGCCCAGCCAGTCTCCTGGCACTTAAAAAAAGTCCCACACTTACTGGCTGCTGCAGCAGCAATCGGGGCCTCTGAGGGCTCATGGCAGAGCCCCCTGAGCAGCACAGGGCAGTGGGGATTGCCCCCCCCACACTTGGCACCCATGTGGCAGCTGTCGCATCACACAGGTGCAGTGCAGCTCTGTCTGGGAGCTGGGATGGCTCCAGCAGTCAGCCAGAGCCCAGCATCGCTCAGCCCCAGCAGCCCCAGCTCCCAGACAGACAGCATACAGCCCCCTGCCAACCCCCCCCGCCCCCATGCCATGGGCAGCTGCCGCATGGGTGCTGGGGGGGGGGCAGGGGGTGGGTGGGCCCTGGCCAGCCCCATCCCCTGCCTGGCCCTAGTCTCCCAGCACTTTAAAAAGGAGGGCTGCGCCAGACTATTCCTGGGAGGTGCCTCCAAAACATTCCAAAAAATCCAAAACATTTTGGAAATGTGTTGGATGGGTTCATTTAATTTCGGAGATGTTTCAGAGCCTTCAGTTTCAGTGTTTCAGGTGCCAAAACAGGCCGAAACACCTCCAAAATGAAATGGCTTTCAAAATTTCATGCAGCCCTACTAGCTGCAACTCCAGTTCCGCTTTGGCCTTTCTGACTTCATCCATGCATGCCCAAGCAATACTCCTTTACTCCTCCCTAGTTGTTTGTCCTAGTTTTCATTTTTTACATGCTTCCTTTTTGTGTTTTAGCTTAGTGAAGCTGCTGAGCCAAGCTGATCTGCCACACTTGCTAATCTTCCTGTATATCAGGATGGCTTATTCATACACCCTCAGTAAAGTTTCTTTAAAATACTGCCAGCTCTCCTGGACTCCCCTCCCCCTCAGACCTGCCTCCCAGGGGATACTACCCATAGGTCCCCTGAGTGAATCTAAGTCTCATTTTCTGAAGTCCAAGGTCCTTACTCCGATGCTCTCCTTCCTTTGTTTCCTCAGGATCCTGAACTCAGTCACCTCATGGTCATTGAAGAGAGAAGCCATTTATTAATAACAAAAGTTTGCAGTGATGTAGCTCTTCACCCCTGAGAATCAGAGTCCTTCAGAACAGTTTTAGTTAGGTCAGCGCTATCTCTGTTTTACAGAATGCTGAAACTGAGGCAAAGGATTGAAAAGATCTATTCTGCAACTTATTTTAGGACCTGCTTTATGTGGGAAATCTGACCTGCTTTATGTGGGAAATCTGACCAGATGATCATGACAAATTTGTAGCTCTTAAGGACAGAAAATTCTCTGTCCCAGTCAGATTGCTCTGTCCTGCCCCCAGCCTGTAAGTGGTAATGCTCCGAATACAACCCAGGAGCCATTCTTTAGCTGACAACCCCACAAAAACGCCGTGTGCAGGTAGGACCATTGACTTCAAGGGGAGAGAGTTAGGACAATGCTTAACGTTCTTGAAGATCCTGGCAGGTTACTGTCATTAAGAATATTATTCAGTCTCTAAGCAAAACCTCTGATTTTTTTGACCAACTTCCCCAACATAGAAATATTCTTAATATCATTTGCAGAACTCTCACTTGTATTCAATTCCATGGCAAGGGAAGCCCTTTGCTCTGGAAGGCATGTATTAACATATTCAGGGTATATGCATGTGTTAAATTCTAACCTGATTTTCCTCATCAAGTTCATCCTTTTTCCTCTGGAGAATCTGAAATAAATGGTTCTTTTCTTCACGCTCCTTTGTTAGATCTTGGCTTTGAAACTGTTAAGGAAAACATTAGCTAGTTAATGCTGGGAAGTTGCCAAACAGAAAGCAGTTAGAGTTTCAAGTGCTGCTCATATATCAACAGATTCTTGTGTAGGCACTTGAATGTATTTCACCAGTAAATCAACATTAGCTTTCAACACGGGGTCATAGAAAAATAGGGCTGGAAAGAACCTCAGGAGGTCATCTAGTTCAACCACCTGCTCAAGGCAGGTACGCCTCTATGTAAGCCTTCCCATGAGTCTGATCACCTCATACTTTGTTAACCTGAGTTACTTCTACCACCACAGCTTTTGATATAAATCTCTCATGCCCCTTATTACACACATGCTAATATCTCTAATACGTTTGTAGCAGGGTGGGGTGCCTAGGGGTGGCTGTGTTACCCGTAGGTCCTTAACCGTGTCAGCCTTGCCCTACAAGCACCCTTGTTCTCGCCCGCCACATCTTGTTGTTATGATGAATATAGGGAGGCTGTCCTTGAGCTTTAGATTTGGACACGGTCTGGTTAGATCCTAATAACTCTGTTGTTTCTAGACCCCTTGATGTCCCACTTCATTGTGGATGGTTCCTGAGCCTCTCAGCCTTATTGGCCATATGCGTGGCTCCAAGTACCCCTTTACCATGCCCCAAGCCTTGCAGAGGATACTGGTGTTGTCTTGCCTAGGCCTCATTATAATTCGGCCCTTTGTCCTTGGTGCTGGGCTCCCCGGAGCCCTTGTCATTGCGCCCTCTCTGGTGCTGGGGTCTGTGCCCCCCAAATGCTGCACCCTCTCTGGCACCAAGGTCCCCATGCTGCAGTGGGCCCCAATAAGGCCTCCTCCTTCCCCAAATAGCCTCACCCAAACCACCGGTGTTATCAGACAGCACACAAACAACAGCCAACCACCATGAGTCCCTGCGCTGTAACATAACGCACAACTCCCGTCATACTCTGCCCCTTTGAAAGAGTAAAACTCCCTCTCTGAGGCTCAGTGCCTAGTAGGCAAGGATACCTTATGGGCTGCTGGTGTCCCCTTTGTTTTAAGGGTAGCCTATGTGCCAGCTACCACATCTCTAGGCCTTTCCTTCCTGGAGGCTCCTTCCCCTTCAGCTGCTGGTAGGGAACCAACCACCTGGTCCCAGCCCTGGGGTTTATATGGGCCTCCTCCGGCCAGCTGACCAGGTGCAGGTGCGGCCAATTCCCTCATTAACTGGTTGTCATGGCAACCTGCACCTGGGTTCTTATCTGGCTTTGTGCTCTCTCCTGGGCCAATCTCTGCTGTAAGAGGAGCAGGCCTTAGGACAGCATTCTCTAATACACCCTTTCCTAACTGATAAACAATGGAATAAATTTTAATTATTCATCCCTTTGCCTAGGTTACAGCCACACAATACACCTGAGCCTGAAGCCTTCAGCACTTAAGAAACGCCAGCTTCAACTATTTCAAGCAAAATACTACAGTGCATCTCCTCAGTAACACACATGAAGATGTCAGATCTATCCTCCCCTTCCTATGCTGACTTCCCATAGAATATCAAAATCTGAAATAAGAGCAAGAAAGAGCCTCGTCAACTTGGGCTTTAAGTGCAAGCCATATTTCTCTCACCTTGCCTTCTCTAACATCAGCATGTAGCAATGTGACTACAGATATAAAATCCAAACCAGAATGCTCCCCTTACACTCCTCCCTCTCTGGCAACCAGATGAGAGAAGAAAGCCCTCACGTGTTAATCATACTGCTTAATGCATCACTAGAAGGCACTTAGATACTCTCATGAAGAGTGCAGTGTAAGCAACTGTACAAAAAAAAATGCCCTCATGTTTTTCTTCAGGATACATTGGCAAAACTTTATCAATTACTGGTATGTTTCCTTCAAATTTAAAAAAAACACAATGTACTCTGACATTACACTCCTAAAACTTTGCACTGAATCCTAGCAATGCATGGCCTCTCTCCTAACCCTAATTTTCTATAGCACAGCTTTGCAATATGCTTCTTAGCCATCACTCCCATGGTCACCCAAAGAAACACTAAGCACTTGGCACATGCTGCAGACGAAGGAATGTGTTGTTCTCAGTCGCATTTGAATTCTCCAGAGTGCGTTCAAGCTTCTTTGCATGCTCCTTCTGCACAGAACCACAAATTTCAGTGCTGGTTGTGTCAGAACAGGACAAGTTGCATACAAATAACAAAGGGTATGTCAGAGGAAAGGAATGCCAGGGAAAGAATGGGGCAGGCATAAAACTAGCAAGTCATCCTCCACAGAGAATGGATATTTCCTTTTAATTGCAGCTTTCTTCTGTCATTTCAACAAAATCTTTTCCATGGGCATCTATTTGTATTCCTATCTTTCCAGTGCCAAAGCTAAGATACTAATGATGAGAAAAGGACAAAATTACAGAGAGGAGCTAAGGACACTAAGAGCAGTAGCAGATGTCAAGGGCTTTGCAGATCATCTTCCCCTTGAAGGAGAAATCAGTGATGCAGAAACTGAGCAGTCTTACAATAACTGATTCTATTTACATAATAGTGAGTTAGTTGTCTTCCTGCTTGTGAGAGGTACTCTTGAGAAACTGAATCACAAAACCTAACCATACACAAGTTTTTTCCAAGACTAAAACTAGTTGGTAGACAAAGAAAAAGAACTTACAGGCCTATATGTAACAGCATTACTTAGGAATGCCTGCCATGATACAGAGTCAGTTTATTTCCTTCTATAACTGAACTCCTGTGGAGTTTCCCTGTATCTCTTCACTGCCAAGGTTGTTCTTTGTCCACCCATCCCAGGTCTGCAAGCATCAAGATTATCAGGAAAGGCTCTACCTGTTCCAATAAAGTGACATGTAACTGATGTTTCTCCTTCTCCAAATGTTCCAGCTGCTCAGTTTTGTCTCGGTCCATACGAGCCTGGTTTTCAATTTCCTTTTTTTGACTCAGCACCTGTGACTGAGGCAAAACAAGGGTGGTTGGAAAATGAAGAATCAACAGTTAGTGCAGGGAAAAAGGGGAGACAACTTAAAATGCAGGATGAAGAGCTCAGCAAAGTCTCACTAAACCACATTGCTGATTCAAAATACCTTTCTCTTTACATGGCTTTTGGGACTGGGGTGGGGGGGATTGACATACTTACCCATTAATAAAACCTGCTAACCCAATGGTTCTCAACTGGGATACTGTGGCACCCCCTCTAGGGATGCCATGAGACGGGTGCTGCCACAGTGGCAGCAGCCAGGTAGAACTGCCCTGTGCACAAGACTGCAGCACATGTGCACTTCTACTGTATTAGGGCTCTCTGATAACACTAAAGCAGAAGGCAGGATAGATTTTCACCTTACAGACTAACCAAGGTGTGTCTGTGTGTGCATGCGTGTGTGCATATATAAATCACAAGCTTCCATGGGTTAAGGCTTACTTCACCAGATGCTGTGAAAGGACATGCAGAAAGCAGAGAATGAGAATGAGAGGGAAATCAGAATACAAAAAACAGGGGGAAGAGAAAGGGGAGGGAGAAGGGAGACATTGCTGGGAGAGACAACCTTAAAGCAGACAGAGCTGGGACAGTTCCACCCATGTACCCCTGTTTCTGGGAGGAGAAGCAGAGAGATCAGACCACGAAGTGATACAAACTGAGCCAGCTTTGTCTGCTTCAGAGTCATCTGAGAGCTCTAATGCAGAAGGAGTGTGTGCATATGTCATAACCCTTCCTGGGCTGGTTGTGCAGCAGGTATGTGGGGAAGTTTTACCTGGAGGCAGCAACACCTGGTTGAGAAGCATGAGGTAAGTTGAGGCAGCAGCAACAGTAGTTCTCAACAAGGGATGCTGCCACATTCAAAAAAGTGCTGGTGGGGTGCTGTGATTCTGAAAAGGTTGAGAGCCACTACACTAGCTCGTCTCAGTGCTGAAATAGATGCCTGGAGCCAACCAGCAGTTTCTGGTGAGACATTTTGGAATACAGAGTAACTTTTGGAAGCTGTCAGAAGCCAGCAGGGAGATCCCATGGTTAAGAGACAAAGCTGGGAGACAAGAACTCTAGGTTCTAATCTTGGCTCTCCCACTGATGGCTTTATTCAAGTCTCTTAATCTCTCTGTTTCTTAATCTGAACAGACTTAATTATACTTACCAGAGCTGGCTGAACAAAAACTTAAAAAACCTTTTCCCACCAGAAATGCCAATTGTTGAAACTGCCATGTTTTAAAGGAATGCATTGGTTTTGACAAAATTTTCACTGGGAAAATTTCTTGGGCCCAGGATGTTCCAACTGCTCAGTTATGTTGTGGTCCATGCAAGGAAGAGAGGAAGAACAATGAGAGATTCCATAGCATGTTGGTTAGTCCCCAGGCATGGGTCTTCCACATTCTTGGTCTAATTACCATGCTCCAGTCGCTCTCTCTCTCTTTTTTACTTTTGAAAAGATCTCATTTTCACTCCACCATAGAACAAAGACAAATTTAGAAATCTCAAAATGTTTCACAAAATGAAACTGTTGTTTTCCAACTAGTCCTCTGGTCCTACTACTCCTCTACCTCACCAAGCTTTTGTGAGAGCAAATCCTGTGTAATTTACAAATTTCTTTGAGATGCTTAGATAGAAGCAGCTAGTGAAGAGCAACGTCTTATTTTGGTGAACCTAGCCTGTGTGCAGGCTCATGATATATTCTGGAAGAGAATAAAAAGAAATCAGGAGGGTTCTTTAATGCGTCCTCCTCTCAAATACAGCATTGTTAGAATTTTCTGGAGCTCAGGTATAATTGTAGGTTTATATTTTCCTAAAGAATAAAGGACATCACTAAGAACACTTGGATACCACCATAATTTGCTAGAGGCATCTCAGTTTCAACTAAAGACAAAGTAAGACAGTCAAGTCCCAAGCAGATTGTAGGAGTAGAGCCAGATGGTGTATTGCCTACCTGCAGCTGGTCCATCTGATCCAGGGTTATTTTCAGTCTGTTTCCCAGCTGTTCATTTTCAGATGAGATACTTTGGCTTTGTTCTTTCAGCCTGTTCACAGCAAACCAAATCATAACATATTCTCAGCTACGTCCCCTGAAAAACCTCTCTCTCCATCTATCCTTGGTGATAACACCAGCAGCTTTCATTTTAAGGCTCATCAAAAACTCAGCTTGAAGTGCAACTTCAAATGAAAAAAAATCCTAGAGGTTCTGAGTGTTCTCCAAAGCCCTGCCAGTTTACTCAAACCTTGCCATATGAAGGTTACCTATAATCTTGGAAATCCAGACCTGTTCCACAGTCCTGTCTGCTCTCTCAGCCCACACAGAAACCTGAGATCCTAAAGTCCCTGGCCTCATTCCAGGAGTCAGTTTTGCTCAGTCACCCTCACACTGGCATTTGTATAAGGTTTTATGAATTCTGAACATAAATGGAAGCCTCAAGGAGCTTCTTATATTCTGACACGCTGGGTTAGTTCACCTGTTGACATGCATTCACTGTCTTTCATCAGCACTAAAAAGAGGAGGAAACCTACTCCTTTGATCCAAGAATCTTCCAGGAGCAACCATTTTCAGACATACTAGGCACATTTACACAAGATGCTGACTGCATGGTAGCCAAATAATACTGCGAAATAATGTGTCACAGCATTAACAGTGCTAATACACTACTGCAAAGTATTATTAGGCTACTGTACAGGAGCAACACTTAAAAGAGTTTGCTGGTGCTACTGCACAGTAACTCCGGTTACTGCACATTTATTTAGCACTTGCTTATATAAGCACTCAATAAATGAACAGTACCTACTGCACAGTAGTGTCTAACATAGACGTGCCCACAGTAAGCATACTCACTGGTGCAGCTCAGCATCTCTGCAGGCATTCTGCTCCTTGAGATGCCTGTTCTCCTCTCTCAGGGAATTCAATTCCAGCTCCAGTTTCTCACTGCTGCCCCTCAGAAAGTCCAGACCACTGCGCAGCTCCTGAAAAATCAGAGTGGAAGAATCCAAATGAGAATCAAACCATAGGAAACTACTGTATATGCAAGTCCCATCCAATGCAACACTCCCAGAGAACTCTCCTAAAGGGAACCTTTTCTTCATGTTCTCTTTTGTTCTGTTCTGTATTTACCATGCATTGAGACCTAGTTTTGTTTATAGCATAGTCCTCAGCAAAAGGAAGATGAGGAGCACAGGACAATGAAAGGAAGATCAGCCCCAGAGCTAGGTTTGGGATCTTGGAACAGGCCTACAAAACAATTTTTTTTGACCATTGCGTCTTCTCAAATGTTACCAACTCTGGTTCCAACTTTGTCGCTCTCTAAACCACAGGGCTGACTTACGGGTTTGAGGGAAGGTTAGAAAGATGATTATTTAAGGTCACGACCCCAAAACAATTCTCTTTAAATAAAATGAATGAGTATTTGTGCGCTGGTGAAAATCTCATCAATTTCCTGCTACAGAAGTGAAGCCAAGTCCCCTTATTCCTTTGAATCCTAGCAATTACTTTGTGTTTTCAAGGCTCTCTTTAAGAAAAGAGCTTGAAACTTGTCTTTTTAAATGAAGACTCTGTTACTTCGAGTGTTTTTACCCAAACAGAGAAAGCCCATGGTGCCAATATGCTAGGGCCCAGGAGCCAACTTTGCTCAGAACTTATTTAGTTGCAGAAAGAAGCTGAACTCAGAGCTCAGTTCAGGTGAAAGGTGCTGGGTTACATTTAGTGTTTGCAGAAAGATAATTGTAAAGAGAGGGGATAGGAGAAGAAGAGATTTATCTTTTATTTGCCATCAGGGACAAACACCAAAGACTCACGAACCCCTCACTGGTTTTAATGGGTATTGCAGCTGCTCAGCCTCTCCCAAATCAAGACATTAGTCTTCATCTTCTCTTCCCCTCTCCTCTTTTTCTGGCCTCCTTTCTTTTCCTCCCTCACCCCATCCCAGTTGCCTTTTTACCTGGTTCTCCTTTCCCAGGTTCATATTTTTCTCCTTAATAGAAGCCAAATCAATTTGAACAGCATTTAGCTCCACAGCCTGTTGATCCAGAGCACTCTGCAGCTTCAAGCTCTCAGTCTGCAAGAAACAGACTTCTCCCTCTAGCTGCTTCATCTTCTCCTGAAAGCATGCAATGGAACATGACACATATAAGACAGAGTTTTAGAACCCCAGGGCCTCTGATCTACTTCACTATCCTTGGAAATACCTGTGCCTTTCTCAACTCCTCCTGCAGGTCCATGTTCTGTTTCTGGAGACTCTTGCAACTTTCCTTCAGTTGTTGGTTTTCTTTAAGTAAATCCTTGTTCTGTTGCTCAATCTCCTCCACTTCTCCCTAGCAAAGGACACACAGATGTTCAGTAAGAGCACAGAGTTGTATGTAGGTTTCAGACAAATTGTGGGGAGCAGCAAGAAACCATGAGTACTGCAGAAAAGCAGTGAAGGGTTAGCTCCCTACCTCTGCTGACACCACCACCACCCCTTATTCTCTCTTGGCTTACCAGACATTATCCAATCAGCTCCTCAAAATATAAAAACACCAGGCTTCATCCTGTAAGGTGCTAGATTTCTCCAGAAGTCAAGGTAGTAGAGGCCTCTTTGCACCATGTAGGACCAAGCCAATGAACTGAAACTCTGGACGATCATTAACTCAGGCAAACACCATGAGTCCTTGAGGCAAACAAGTCCTTACTGGTTACCCACACAATAAATGCACCCTGTCTGCTTCTGGGCACAATATCACTTGCTACTAGTGCTGTACTTCCCTCAGTAACATGGGAAGACAGATAAGAGCAAGGGCTCATAGCTACAAGCCACACAAAGCAGCTGGGAAGTTATAAAACTATTTATCACATACATAGGGCCTTTCATCAAGGGACTCAAAGTACTTTACAAAACTTGGGATTATTAGACCTGTGTGTGCAGAGGAGTAATCTGAGGCAGTGAGATTAAGTGGTTTGCCCAAAGAATGGACCACAACCCAGCAGTCCTGACTGCCAGTCTGCTGCATTAGGGAACATATTGTGTTGGCTCTCTTTATAAAAGCCTCACTAAATCCAGTGGATAATTGAATCTGACAGCAGTACTTTCAAGTTTGCTATCTATATGGCAGCTGTGCCCATCGGCCTTAACCATGGACCCAGATCTTCATGTGCTGGACCAGTGGTGCCCAACCGCTTGGCCGTGTGGGCTAGATGAATGATGCGGGGTGGGTTCACAGGTTGGAACCAGTTGGTGAGCACACATGCCATATCAGTCCTAGCCCCGGCCCTAGCCCCATGCTGGATCAGGCCCACTGCCCCAGCCCCAGCCCCAGCCCTGTATGCACCCAGTTGGGCCCCTCCAACCAAGTCCTGGCTCTGCATGCACCAGAACAGCCCCAGCCCCTCATATACCAGATTGGGCCCCTCTGCCCCAGCTCCTGCTCCCTCTATGATAGCAGGATCTCTTGCACAGGGCCTCATCTTTTGGCCTGCAGAGCTTGGAAATTTGTTGGTGAGAGTGGTGACGATATTAATTGCCACCACTCCCTCCTCGCCACATTTACAAACACTTGGGGAGCACTGCAGGCTGGATCATACAGCTTTGTGGACCATATCTGGCTTGAGGACTGGGGTTGAACATCCCTGTGCTAGGCACTATAAAAACAAGACAGAAAAGAGAGCCCCTGCCTGAAAGAACTCACAGTCTAAGTAGCGTGTCTGATCCTCCTCTCAATATTAAACTCTTTATTTCACTCCAAGACAGACTCTTTGCAAAGAGCCCTAAAAAGACTAATTTTGGTCAAACTGAAAGAGGGGCGCTTCATGTTTAAACTTCAGATCACCATCAGGAAAAAGTACCAATTCCCAAAATGAGAGTTTCAGCTGCTCAAAACAAACAAGATGCCAGTTTCTAATTTCTTGGTGGCAAGCAGAAAAGACACATCTTGAGTTGTCCACTCTGAGCTCTATTAAACTAGAGTGGAAATGGGGCTGAACAATTTGAGCAAAAGACTAAGAATGTAGACTCCTGAGCTTTATTTCTAGCTCTGCCAGTGAGTTCGAGAGTTCTTTTACAAGTTCCTTCATCCATCCATCCTTCAGTTTACCCATCTATGCAACTGGGGATACTATCAGTTTCCCTCAGAAAGATATTGTAAAGGAGGATAAATACGTTTTTGCTTAGTGTACAGGCTCTTTGGATATAAGGTGCTACAGAAATGTACTTTATTATTACAACACACGCAACAGACCCAGAAACTAGTACTGCTGCAGACGCCCTGCAAATGTACTTACACATAGTATGAGTCGGCCCCTGTCATGAAGAGCTTACAATGTAAAAAGATAAGTCAGACAGACAATAAGAGGAAAAACAGAGGCAGAGAGAAGCAAAATAACTTGACTAAGGTCACCAGAAGGTCATGTGATCTTCTGTTCAGTGCCCTCCTTACAGAACCACACTGTGATAGGGAAAAAGGAATCTGATTAAAAAGTAAAGGCATGAAAAGCAAGGAGAGGGAGACAGGAAATTTACCTGTGTGGTAACCACCAGGATGTCATCCTCAGCCTCTGCATGGAACTGGAAGGGCACACTGGCTCCACGGACCACCCCATCCTGGTCAACGTAACAGAACTGGTAATATTCGTCATCTTTTGGCAGGTAGTAGGCTTAAAACAAACAAACAAACAAACAAAATCGCACCATGGGGTGTCTCTAATTATTATTGCCTCTTCTTCAGCGAATGGGACAGAAAGCTAAAATCTACAAAAAGCAGAAGTACCAAATACAAAGCAATATAGCCATTATGGGCTCAGCATTGCCTACTCCTTGTGTGATCTTTCACACCAGCGCAAATTGTGCCAAAAACGCTTCCAAATCACAACCTTGGCATTTTGTGTCACAATACACTCCACAAGCAGCATGGCAGTGATGAACTTGGCCCTATCACTAAAACATTATGAATGGTCACACCCAGGTTACTATGACCTCCAAAGGGGTATTCCCTCTAGGTTGGGTTTGTGGTGCGCTGGTAACACAGGCCTCAGGAGTGAATGTACTGAAAGGATAAGTTTCTGTTCTACCAGCAGGGGGCACTCATGCAAGGCTGATCTACACTGACAGCACCAGGAGACTGACAGGCTGGTGGAGGAAACCCTGGGTAGAAATTTGGTGGCTATTATTTTGAGATTGCTTGATAGCCACGGTTCCTGAAATACAGATCGTCTAAACACAGTGCATAACAGGATGAAATATTCAATAGTTCTACAGCCTCAGGCTGTAACATGTATGTATACCTGGCCTTTAGAGAAATTTGGTATGTCATAGTATGTGTGTATCTGCACATGTGCACATGTGTATGGACACCCATCCTTCCCCAGCCAACCTTTAAACTGAACTTCTTGCTGCAGCACTGCATCGCTGTCAAGGCTGCTGGGCAAAGGTGCCCACATGAATGTGTAATATTCACGGGTTGTTTTCCATCCCACCTGCAACAGAAAAATAATCACACTGCATAACACACTGGATGTTTATCCTGCGGCAATTTACAGAAGTCTGAATTGTTACACAGTTTATAAACCTCCACGATGCAGTAAGAACCAACCCCCACCATGCCCCTATGCAGGCTACTTAGACCTTGGGCCCATAGAGAGGCCTGGAGAAGAAGCATGCTGGGGGAGTTGGGAAGGGGGAATGTGGCTAGAATGCATCACAAGGCAGCTATTCTTCATTGGTCCTGTAATGCACAGTTCAAGCCAGATCAGCCCCAAGACTGCTCCAAATACAGGAACAAGGCAGTTGAGAATCACGCTCTTTGTCTCTGGACACAACACAAATACTACAATATGTAAGTCCACCATTAAAAGAGAGCTGTTACTCTGCTCTACCAACACCTTAACTCTGCTCTGGGGGATCAAGTGTGACATCTGTGGAAATCTCCATGCCAGGGCACTCACCCTTTTCAGTGCATGGAAACTGATGAGTCACAGCACACACTTACCCTGAAAATGCCCACCCAGTCCTTTCTGCGAGGAGTGATATTCTTTGTGAGGGTGTAGTAGCAGGTGACATCTCCTCCAGGCATATAATACTTCTCCACATTAGTAAAGATGACCTGGGAGAAGTGGCAACTGTCCAAGAGGATAGTGGAGGTGGGAGGTTCGTCTACATTCTCATCCATGCTGGAGTTCTGCAAAAGGGAAAGAACAAAGCAGAGGGTGAGGCTATGTCCAAACTAGACCGCTTCTCCTGGTGAGGGTATGGGCCCAGACTGACATAGCTGTGTTGACATATGCCTGAATTATACAAAAGTAGGACTGAAAGGGATCTCAGGAGGTCACTTAGTCCAATCCCCTGCTTCAAGAGGTTGGAGAGAGTTCCATAGGTAAAGCAACAGGATGAGAGGTTAAGGACATTGTCAACATTCTTCTGTTGCAAGGACAGGAGGTAGTTACTAAATACACTCAAGAGATCCAAGGAAGAGGACAATAGCCCCACTACAGAGGAAGGCAACTCCCCCCACCCCTCCACCCATAGACCATGCCAGATGTGACTGTGGGGTAAAATTCTGTCCTGATCCCAAATGCAGCGACTGGTCTTGTCTTGAGTGGAGAAGTAAGACCCTTCTAGCCAGGAACCTCTGAATGTTTTAATCCCACCAGGCACATTGACACACCCCAGCCAAAATCCTCTGCCTTGGCTGCAGTTGATAATTAATGCTTCTAAGGATGGTATAAAAAAACCCTAAGACTCATAGCAGTAGGAGCAGAAAAAATCCTTCCTGGCCCCATGTGGCAACCAGTAAAGCCCAGAATCATGGGATAACCAAACTCTGTCCACCCAGCACTACAACCTGGGGGCCACAAGCACAACTTCATGAATCACATATCCTAACTGGAGAGCAGGAACACCCCTTTCTATCATCTTATCCCCCCTAAAAACTTAACCCAACTACTTTAATCTTTTTTCATATCCAAGCCAGTTGCACAGCTCCACTTCCTGCTGCTGAGCATGGTCCTCTCCAGTTTCGACCTGTTTTGGGCTGGAGAGCTCTTCTCATGATCTCTGGGCAATGTGTGTGTGAGGATCTCCTGGGCTTCCAACTGTTGCTCTTCACAGCCTGCTCTTGGCATTGTTACTCCTAAATCAACCCTGACCCATGCTTATCCAACTTCTTTTTGAAAACCTCCGATGATGGAGGGTCCACAATTTCCCCAGGCAGCCTATTCCACTTCCTCATTGTTCTAACAGCAACAAGGTTTTTCCTGATATCCAATCTAAATTTACAAGACATTGTAAATTTAAGATATTGCTATGTTTCTTAATCTGCAGAGAGGGAGAAAAGGTGTTTTCCCTCTTCTTCACGGGAGCCCTCCCCACTTAATTGCCCTTTCTGCAAGCTAAAAATGCTTGGTTCTCTCAGCTTCTTCTTGTATGGGTCAGCCTTTGGGCCCTCTCTAACTTTTCCACATCCATTTTTAAGATGTGGAGCCCAGAACTGCACACAATAGGTCAGGGCTGTCCAATTTCTGGGTGCCAAAGGGCTGCATACTGCACAGACTGTAGACTCCTGGGTGCACAAGGTATGGGCCACACACCACAGAGGAAGGCCTCTCAGGGTCGCCCCCCTGCTGCACAGGCAACCAGCTCCCTCTCTTATCCCGCATGCAGCATGGGCAGCTGGCTCCTCCTGATGTGTGTGCAGCGCGGCTCCTTTCCTGGTCACACATGCAGCTTGACCCTCCCACCCCACACACACATAAGGGCAGCACAGCCAACTGGGACCCCCCTACTCCCCTCCCTCACCCTGCTGACATGGTCCCCAAGTCCTCCCCAGCCCAGTCTCACAGCCCTTGCCCCAGAGCTCCCTCTCACCATGTTGCTCTGTTCCCGGGGACACAGAAGCAGGAAGCAGAAGCCAGGGGAGAGTGGAGGAGCCTTGAGCCTCTGGCTGCAGTGGTCGGATAGGAGCCTGCAGGCTTCATCTTAATTCTTCATAGGTTGTATGCAGCCCATAAGCCACCAGTTGGACAGCGCTGCTCTAGATGAGGCCTAACAAGCACCAAATGGAGTGGCACTATTTTCTCTCATGTCTTACACCTAATAGTCCTATTGACACAGTCCAAAACTACATTTGCCTTTTTGGCAGCTTTATCACACTGCTGTCTCATGTTATCATTCACCAAAACCACAAGATCCTTCTCTGTAGTACTACCATCCAACAAGTTATCACCCATTCCTTATTTGTGCTTTTGATTATTCTTCCCTAGGTGTAGCACCTTGCATTTATCAGCACTGAACTTCATCCTGTTGTCTCTAGCCCAGCTGTTGTCCCTTTCTAGTCTGTTAAGATCCTTCTGAATTCTCCTGTCCTTTGACATGTTTGCAGTCCTTCCCAGTTTCATGCCATTTGCATGTAGACTCAGTTCATAGATTTCATAGACATTAGGGCTGGAAGGGACCTCGGAAGATCATCAAGTCCAGCCCCCTGCCCCAGGGGCAGGAAGTCAGCAGGGATCATAGGATACCGACAAGATAAACATCCAATTGTCTCTTGAAGGTGTTCAAAGTAGGTGCTTGAACCACCTCTGGTGACAGTCTATTCCAAACCTTGAGGGCTTAGAGAGTAAAAAAGCTCTTCCTTATGTCCAGCCTGAAATAGTCATGGAGGAGCTTATGACTGTTCGCCTTGTCATCCCATGGGGTGCTCTGGTGATCAGACATTCCCCCAGGTCCTGGTGAGCACCCCTGATAAACTTATAGGTGGCCACCAGATCACCCCTGAGCCTGCGCTTTTCCAGGCTGACAAGTCCCATGGCTCTCAGCCTCTCATCACAAGGTCTGTTTTCCTGACCTGATCATGCACATGGCTCTCCCCTGCACTCACTCAAGCTTTTCCACATCCTTTTTGAATTGTGGAGCCCAAAACTGGACACAGTACTCCAGCTGTGGCCTCACCAAGACCGAGTACAATGGGAGAATGATGTCCCGGGATTTGCTTGAGAAGCAACTATGGATGCAAACCAGCATTTTGCTCACTTTACTAGCTGCAGCATCACATTGAAAGCTCATGTTCATCTTGTGGTCAATCATGATCCCCAAGTTCCTTTCATCCGTAGTGCTAGCCAGCTTAGCACAGCCAAGCCTATAAGCATGCTGCAGGTTTTTCCACCAAAGGAAAAGCCTGCAGCATGCTTATAGGTGTTAAGCATGCTTACAGGTTGCATTTTTCGGTGTTAAACACGATCAGGTTCTCATCTGTCCGTTTCCTGAGCCTGTCAAAGTCTGCCTGGATCACCCTCCTGTCCTCACATGTGGATGCTTTACCCCAGAGTTTGGTGTCGTCGGCGAACTTGTCCAGTCCGCTTCTGACACCAATGTCCACATCATTGATGAAGATGTTAAATAGTATAGGCCCTAGGACAGAGCCTTGAAGGACCCCACTGGTGATTGCGCACCAAGGCGATTGGCTTCCATCAACCACCACCCTCTGGGTCCTGCCGCGGAGCCAATTCCCCAGCCAGCGGATTCTGGTGAGCTCAAGGCCGCAGTTAGCCAGTTTTGCCAAGTTACGATCATGGGATGCCAGATCAAAGGCTTTTTTGAAGTCAAGATATACGATATCAATCTCTTCCTCCTTGTCCAGGTGATAGGTCACCTGGTCATAAAAGGAACTGAGATTGGTCAAGCAAGACCTACCCACAACAAACCCATGC